CTGCAAATTTCCACTCCTTTTACTTTGTATTTACTTCAGAACTACTAAATTTGCAGGCATTTCTGCAGTTTTTTTAAATTTAGAGATGTTTTTTAAACTATTATAAATTGATTTGAAATTTGACTTTAGAATGTTAAAAAATATGTAGTAGGTTGACCCAGTAAATCCAATGTTTGCCATGTTAGATTTTTTTACTGTTAGTTTAAAATGTTAATAAAATATGTTTAAAAAAAGGATTGCACTGAAAAACCTTAACTTTCAAACAGCCAAAACAGATGTTAAAAACCAGAGTCAAGCAAGATTGTGAATTGTGAACATGGCATCTAAATAGCCTGAGTAAATAAAAAGCATCAGATGAAGGCTAGGTTGGCAGACACCCCTCCTTAAAGGCATAGGCCCCAGATGGGGCAAAGAATACCAAAGAACAACAGCTCAGCAACAGTAGCAGAAAGCCAGGGATGGGCAACTTTTCCCCCTTCAGTTTTGGTCTGCATCTCCCATCATTTCTGACTCTGGTGCACCCGCAGCTGGAGTATTGTGTTAAATTCTGGGCCCCTCATTACAAGAGGGATATAGCAAGGTTGGAATCAATGCAGCGAAGGGCTACAAGGATGGTGGCTGGTTTGTAGGGGATGCCATATGAGGGAACTGGTTCTTTTCAGCCTGGAGGAGACTCAGAGGGGATCTGATGGCGACATACAGGTTTGTGAGGGGATGTCACACAGGGGTGGGTACAGACCTGTTCTCCCATGCAGAGGAATGCAGGACACACTCCAACGGAGCAATGCTCAGGGAACCAAGGTTCAATTTCGATGCCAGGAAGTACTTTCTTATGGTTAGGATTCCTAGGGCATAGATTGGGCTTCCATGGGAAGTGGTTGAAGCCCTGTTGGTAAAGATGTTCCAGGATAGGCTGGACATGCACATGGTGGGCATGCTGTGAGCTGAACCGGTTGGAGCCAGGGGTCAGACTAGATGGCCCAGTAGACCCCTTCTGACTTGCTCTGTATCTATGTTTCTATCTCTTACCACTGGCTTTGCTTGCTGGGGCACAAATTGCCCATTCCTGGTCTAAAGATGTCCAGCCTCCAACTCAGATGGGCTACTTTTCATAGAAACTTCTGCAGCGCCAGGTCCACCACTGAGAAGCCCTGCTAAAGTATACTCACAGAACAGGAACCTCATGAGTTTCAAAAGCTCCAGAGATATGCTTTGCTTAATGACTTGTTAGCCTTGATTATTTTTAAAACCACAACCACAGGGTCCGCAGATTTTAGCCACTTTTGGTGGCCAGCAAAAAGAAGCTCCAGTGTTTCAACAGAACAGTGACAAAATGTAAGACCTAGCCCTGGACATGACAGCCATGGCTGTGCAGCAACCAAGCTACAAGACACTTGGTGCGCCTCCACAGTACTGCAACAAAGCCAGTGTTGAACCTTTCAACCCTCAAGCTGCAGCGAAGACTGGGATTATCCCTACAGTTGCTTTTCTGAAAATCTGCACAACAGCAGGGAAATCCAGTGTCCCCTTTCCAGAATCCAAGGTCCAGTGAGCCTCTTGTGTTCACTGGAAGGCAACACCACACTTGCCGTGGCTCACAACAGTAGCACCTGTCATTTAAAACTGATTTGCCTTGGACACTGCTCAGCTCTGCAAGAAATAATTAAACTGGATTACTAGTGGGTTAATTTTTTATTCTGATCATAAACCAAGCAAAGAACAATGGCAAGCAAAGCACTACTGGCATCAGTACATTCTTTCTTGCAAGCACAGAACCATGCAGGAAAAAGTTTTCCTTCTATGTATACTGTTTGAAGTTATGCTCAGGCCCTCTTCATTTTCACAGGTAGCTCCTCTGCTGAGCTGTAGCCAATTACAGGCACAGAAGACTGCTGATAATGCAGTCTGAACATACCTAAGAGTGTTTTTAAGGAGGGGATGCTGGGACAAAAGGTGAGGATATGCTGTGCTTCTAACTCAATTGTGAAAGCAAAACAGGTGTGACTGAGTTGACTAAGGCTTCAACTTGGGAAGAACTAGATGACTGCCACTGAGCATGTGCAAAGTACCTTCCATTTACCAGTCAGCTATAAACTCTGGCAAACATTTGGCATCTAGAAGGGCTTTTTGAGGCAAGCATGCATATCAACAACCTCAGATATGCAGATGATACCACTCTAATGGCAGAAAGTGAAGAGGAACTAAAGAGCCTCTTGATGTGGGTGAAAGAGGAGAGCGCAAAAGTTGGCTTGAAACTCAACATCAAGAAAACTAAGATCATGACATCTGGTCCTATCATCTCCTGGCAAATAAATGGGGAAGAAATGGAGGTAGTGACAGATTTTATTTTCCTGGGTTCCATGATCACCATGGATGGGGAATGCAGCCAAGAAATTCAAAGACTCTTGCTCCTTGGGAGGAAAGCTATGGCAAATCTAGACAGCATACTAAAAAGCAGAGACATCACCGTGCTGACAGAAGTGCATATAGTCAAGGCCATGGTTTTCCCAGTTGCAATGTATGGCTGTGAAAGCTGGACCGTAAGGAAGGCTGCGCGCCAAAGAATTCAGGACTCGCAGGAGTCTTCTCAATTGTGGTGCAGGAGAAGACTCCTGCAAGTCCTTCGGACTGCAAGGAGATCAAACCAGTCAGTGCTAGAGGAGATCAACCCTGACTACTCTTTAGAAGGCCAGATACTGAAGATGAAATTCAAATACTTTGGCCACCTAATGAGAAGGACTCACTAGAGAAGAGCCTAATGCTGCGAGAATAGATGGCAAAAGAAGAAGGGGACAGCAGAGGATGAGGTGGCTGGCAGAGGATGAGGTGGCTAGATGGAGTCATTGAAATAGTCGGTGTGAGCTTCAGTGGACTCAGGGGGATGGTGGAGGACAGGAAGGCCTGGAGGAATGTTGTCCATGGGGTCGCGAAGAATCGGACACAACCTCGCAACTAGCAACAACAAAATGCAATTTGCAGGCAACTGTGAATGCCAGCATCTTGTTGTATTCAAGTCTGAAGGAACTGGAGGGAGGGACAAGGCTTGTATGAGCTGTACCATTTGAGACAGTGGGTGGGGCTTGCATGATTGGATAATACTCTTCACATAAGGGGTGAATGCACTAAGCCAGAATTCTAGTTTTTCCTCTCTGCTGGGAGGTTTTGTTTTTTTGTATAGATGAACACTTACTTCTGTGGTCTTCCACCTGCTGTCTGAAGTGGTACAACCCAGATATAGTTTAACCATTTCAATGAGAAGCAGGCCTTAGCTTAGTGTTGTTTTGCTGGGCTTTTTATTAATATTCAAATACTGATTTAATTTGTCCTTACAGCCTTTTTAAATATGGAACAACATTTCTTTTCTGCTGTAGCCTGCTCACAGGATAAAAATCGGGGGGGGGGGGAATCCAAGCCTAGGCATTGGGAGAGACTACAGAAAAAAGGTGAGTAAATCTACACTAGCTCACCCAGGCACCCCACCCAAGCCATCCTGATGCAGGGAATTGCCACGTTTCAGTTCCTGAAAGCCAGGAAGAGGCATTCATTTTTGCAGGTGCCCTGCCCACCCTGAACGGTGGCTGCCTGGCACACAGATCCAGCTAGTCAATGTCTACCAAGTCCTGGTCATGCCCTAGCAGCACTGGATTTGTAACCTTGTGAGAGCAAAGGTGGGGGGCTGCCAGGTGTCCTGAAAATGTTGGGCCTGACCTACTCTTGTGCCTTTTACAACAGCTTGATTTGCAGAAATAAGCAGGTTTCAAAACAGAGGTAAGCAATATTAACCACTACCGTCTGCACATTAAACTGCTGTTAAAAGCCCAGGAAGAGAGGCTGGGAAAACAAGCGCAACTCTACCCATGGCTGTTAAATCCCCAGCTCCATTTTCTGAAATAAGCCCCACACTAACTTTGTACTTGTAAGTGCTGGACAAGTTCCAACATTAACCCAGAGATAGTCTGAAGTGGTTTCCTACATTCTTTTCAGGCCAGGATGGCAGGGGAGCCCTATAGATTAACATACACCCAATATCAAAATTTGGATTACGGCTACTCAGCTACCTTTGCCAATAGCCACTGAAGTTCAGTAAAGATAATACCGGGTAGTAACAGGTGCCACCACTGCCCCGAGTATTCCTTCCTTTACTGGGACAGAACGAATAGCTTATATACATGTCCATACAATTATAATAGTAAGTATGAAAGCATGTGTTGATGAAGGGCTATAACATTTTCTCTTCTCCATTCACACCCCCCGCCCCGTGCACAAAGCCCGACCCTTACTTTTTAAAGTGGGGGGGACAAGTGACCTTAAACGGTTTTTGCGACTTATGGAGGAGGAAGAAGAGAGGGTAAAGGGTGGTTCTTTTGGAATGAAGGAGTCGCAGCTGGCCCTCTTGCATCACCCCCAGAATATCCGCTTTGCCCAAAAGCAACGCCCTCCCTCCGGTAAACTCGGTCGTGTGCCTCGCAAATCCACCCCAAAGCTTGTACCGAAGGGGCAGTTTCCATCCGCGCAGCCTGGAGATTCGCTCTGGCGAGCAGCGGCGAACATCGCCCAGTCCCAAGCAATGCCAGCTATTCCAGAACACAAGCCTGGCACTGCAGCTCGCCATCGGACTCCGAGGAAGCAGCTGCTCCCTTGACTCCGCTCCGGCACCCCGAGAGAAAGGAAGCGCAGCTCGCTAAGGCAAAGAAGGACGTGGACATACCTCTCTTGGCTGCGGTGCGCAGGGAGCCTTTGCTTTGCTTCTTGCTGGAAACTGCCTCGCTAGCCAGATGTCGGAGTTGCAGGGAGCCGGAGCCGCTCGCTAACAATGGAGAGCAACGCCGCCCTGCCGAAATAGGAAGGTGTGCCCGGAGCTCCTCTCCGCAGCGGCCCTCAGCGATCGGCCTTCCACATCATCCAGCCTCGCCCACTGGAGGCGGGGCCGGCGGGAGGGAGCAAGCAAGCAACGGGCCCCGACCTGGTGCTTGCGTGCCTTCCCTGAGCCTGAGCGCCCGGCCCTTCTCTCGTCCCCGCCGCACATTTCGTTAACGTCGCAACACGCTGGCTATTTGCGAATGCAGCTGGTTGCAGAGGGCTCTGACGGGGTGGCCTGCCATCTGACTACGGATACGGATACTCCCCACAGCTGGAAGTTTCCTAAGCTGCTGCAAGATTTCCAAGGTTTTCCTCGCAGAGGTGCTTTACATCAGTGGTAGGACATTATTTCTGGCTACAGTCTTGCACCCATTTAGCCACTGGGATCAATGGTACTGACTCCTGAGGGAACAGGAACAGGTAAGCTTAACTGCTATGCAAAATGTATCTCGGGGGCTCGGAAGCTTGGGCTTGAGGGCCAATCCCGTCACTTCGGCGCTCCCAGCACGGTCACGCCCCTTTCCTTGGCGGGCGATCCAAGGTGGTTTCCCAACTTTTGTGCTGGCTTTGCTAAGGCCATTTAAGGCGCCACCACAGACACAAAATTAATGACGTTCAAAGCAAAGCCTTCTTTGTTTTCAGAAATTGCTGTGCCAGCACGAAGATGGCCTGAGTGAGCCCCCAACTCCTTTAGCTGCCCAACTTTGGCTTTGATACTGGCAGCCAGAGCTTTAAGCAAAAATGCGCTACTGTTTTTGGCTCCATAAGGTTTTCTTTCAGTCCCACTTACTGCTGCAATATGGCTATTGATATCTTCTCCCAAATGGAAATTCACCCTTAGGTGGAAAGAAGTTCAACATCCCTGAGCTAGCAGGAGTGCTTTGCATTAAAAAGAATCAAAGACAAAACCCTGTCTCTAGTTAAACTTCTGCATTGGGACTGGGCAGCTTATGGTTCTCTAGATGTGTCAGCCCATGATTCCCTTCACCATTAGTTATGCTGGCTAGGGCTAATTGGGAGCTGTAGGCCAAAACCTGGAAGGCCACAAGTTGTCCACCCTTGTTTTATTTATTTATTTATTAAAACATTTTTATGCCGCCCCATTTGCCGAAGCCTCGGGGCGGCTCACATCATCAAGTTAAAATAATTATAATATAAATTAAAAATATAAATATTAAATTAAAATACAACAATACAGTATAAAATAAGCCGCCCTGGCCAAATAAAACCAATAATGTTAACAGTTAAAATGCCGCTTGAATAAAAAGGTCTTTGCCTGGCGCCGAAAAACAAATAACGACGGCACCAGGCGGACCTCTCTGGGGAGCGCGTTCCATAACTTAGGCGCCACCGCAGAGAAAGCCCTCCTCCGAGTACCCACCCTCCTAATTTCTTTCATGGAGGGTTCCCGGAGAAGGGCCTCCCCCGCCGATCTCAAGGGGCGGCTGGGCATATATGGATGCAAGCGCTCCTTCAGGTAACCAGGACCCAAGCCGTTTAGGGCTTTATAGGTCATCACCAACACCTTGAATTGGGCCCAGACTGCTTGAGCTTGTTGCTCAATGTTGCTTGAGCTTCCTCTGGTTACTTCACCCCTCTCCATGATGAGGAGGCAATTTTCAAATTATTATTATTATTATTATTATTATTATTATTATTATTATTAAAACATTTATATGCCGTCCTTTGCCGCAGCCTCAGGATGGCTTACAAAAATATCAATATAAATGACAAAATAATACAAATCTCAATACCAACAATCAATAAACAATACATAATACAATAAATACTCAAAAATAAATCAAGTCAAACAAATAAATTAAAAGCAACTGTTACAAACCATTAAATATACTAATTTTTAAAATACCATTTAAATAAAAAGGTTTTAACCTGGTGCCAAAAAGAATATAAACTCGGCACCAGGCGAATCTCTCTGGGGAGCACATTCCACAATCTGGGCGCCACTGCAGCGAAGGCCCTACTCCGAGTAGATGTCCTTTTTACCTCCTTCAAGGAGGGTTCCCGGAGCAGGGCCTCTCCCACAGATCTTAAGGGACATGAGGGCATATAAGTTATCAGCTCAGGTGCTGTGAGTCAAAGAAGGACCTGCGCTAGAGTATACAAAAGGGATTCTGGCTTACTGGGACATTCTCATAGTTGGCTTGAGCTTGAGCTGAATTTCAGCCTTCCTGAAATTCTGCTTCCCGATAAACAGGGGGTCCTAATTCCAATAATAATAATTAATAATAATAATAAGGCTTCAGGGAGGAGTGGAGGGAGAAAACAATTGAAAATGGGTTTAGTGGTATCTGTTTCCAGAGTCTTCCACCCATTTCCAATTTTGCCAGAGGTAGGTGCATTGAAAAGTACATTAAAAACATAGCTGTGTTCCCCACAACCAAAAAAATCCAAAAATGTACCATGTAGTAATATTGTTCCTTAACATCCAAGCTGCTGAAGGTTTGGGATTTTGTAGCCCTTCCTCCAGCTATCTAAAATTCAGGGATGGGCAGAAGGTAAACTGGATCTCCTGGTAGATCTCAGGCTGATTTGCTTTAGATTGACAAACATTTCTGATTCCCAGTGGTTTAAACATAGCAAAAACAAAACCCTTTTCTCTCCCTGCACTCCCCAAATTAGACTGTCCTAACAAGAAAGTTTGGGAAAACCCTTACATGAAGCTGTGTGTGAGAGGATGGGGCTCAGTTAAGGTGCTAAAACTGCACTTTGTACATGTTCAGAGGTGCAGTGGTTATTTAGGCAGACAGAAGCACCTTTCCAACACCATCTTGCATCTGGCTCTGATAGATGGATTTTGAGATCTAGTGAAGAAAAGTAGACTCGTCTACGTGAAGCTTTTGATACTGCTGCTGATTGATACCAAATTATTTTCTAATCATCCATTCTAAACAGACCTAGCTTGGCTATTGCTTGGCCCTAAACAGGTCTTGGTTTAGTTGGTGTTCAGTTTATGGAGATTACCCAGGTTGCTACCTGACCAGGAAAAACCCTAGCCAAGGCTGCTGTTGTGCCTTTAACAGCAAGACACCAGTTGTGAATGTCTTCATGATATGGCAGTGAATGTTATTCAGAAGCTGTTTTTTTTAAGTTGGTACCAACTGAACCAAGCTTCCAAAAAGAATAGAGTATAATAAATAAGGGAGGTTTAGAGACCAAAGGACTAGAGTAGCAGAAACCAGAAATGAAGTAGATTGATAAATATATCATACTGATTTAATAAGCAAATATTTAATAAGTATCTGGAGAGCTCCTAGTTCTTGGAGAATTTGATATTCCACCACCTAGTGATACTTGGATAGAAACATTCAAATATCTTATTTTTTTCCCAGTAAGACAACTGAAAGACATTTAACTCTGAGCTTCCTTTACTAACACAAATGTCTTGGAATGTTTTTTACTCCCCTCCCCCTAATCCTATAATATTTTCATATTGAAATAGAAGATTTCAATATGAAAACAGGAGAAAGTAATTTAAAAACATACTTCCTTCTCTCCAACTTTACTTTTATTTCAGCAGTGTCTTTCAGTCCAGGGATGGTGAATATTCAGTGCACTCACCATCATGTTTTGGAGGAGTACTTGAGAGCGTCTGTGTTTTCCTTTTTCCCCGTGGCAGGACATTTTTCATGTTTGATGTGCAGAGTGAGGGAGGGATCCCACTTGATCCCTGTGCTCTCCAGCAACCTAAAGCCTCTGCTTTTTGCTGTTGCTCCTGATTTGTCGCCCTTCTTTCTCAGAGCCTGGCTTCCTCTGGCTGATAGACCTTTCAGTCAGCTCTATTTCTTCCTGGTCCAGTTGCTGCTTTATTCAATCCTCACAGTTGCCTTAATGTTTCAATGAATTTATATCGAGCATTATACTCAGGGAAGAGATCTTGGTTTCATCTGGGTTTTAGATAACATCTGTCTACCAAATGTAGATCCTGGATCTGAATCAATCTACACCTGTGCTAATATGATGCTCTTTCCAGTGATGTTTGCAGCTGGTAAGGGTACACTCCTATGAATCTTCAAAGAGAGAACAGCCCCACAACCAGCATGCCCCAGCAAGCTTTCCTTTCTTGGAGTTGTGGTTTAAAAAAATGAAAGACATGGGATAGCACAGGAAGGGTACAAATGGAAGGCCTCCTGTAAAATTCCATGAGTGATGCATTGCAATTGCATAACAAAAGCCTGGCCTGGAAGCACCCCAATTCTGAAATTGCACAGAATATTAGTTAATTTTGAAATGCAAGTGTTCATTGTGACAATCCCCATAGTCACATCACAAGGGAGTCCAAACCTGCAGGCAGTTCCATGTCAGCACATCAATTCTATGAGTTTTCAATGGCTGGGGCAGGTCATTTGTAAAGGTAACATGCTTATTCAAGACCCAGGCCCCCCAAATTGTTTCTTGAAAAATTGTTACACTTTTCAAATAACAATGCATTTTCCTCTAGCTATTCCATGGATTACTGCCTGAGTGGTCCAGGGCTGTCTGAGTGGGCGAGTCAATGATGTCAGTGTCCCTATTAATACAAGCTACTGCTGCATTCCTGTTGTACCCTTGGTCCTGTGAAGCCAAGCTGTTGTATCAAGCAATGGCATCACAACCAATCGAATGTCATAAAGCTGGACACTCAACTGGACAAAATGTGAGTATCGCTTTATATAATGGGTCTCCAACATCCTGATTAAGAATTCTTTCTCCAAGTGTGGCTGACTCGGCTGATTCTCCTTCCCATTCCATCACTGCTTTAAACAGAGAGCCTTTATTGGTATCCCTCTCAGGCACTGGAATACTCTGCCTGAGGTGATGAGGACATCTTAATTTCTGCAGTGCCTTTGCAGTGGCTGGGAAACAAAAAGTGGGCACTTTAATTAATTCGGAGGTTTGCTTTTACAAAAACAAAAAGCTATAATGCTGATTGGATTTTCAGGAAAGGCTCCTTATATATACTATAAATCAATAAAGCAATGCAATAAGTTTGAGTAACTTTTGGCTGAGACTGGAGGGAAGGTTATGACATTCATTAAGTACATCCAGTAGGTGCCCAGGACATTTGCACAATTATATTAATCAAAATGGGCATCACATTAACAACAATTATTCAGTGGGTGCAAGAAATACTGCAGTGTCCCAGAAGCAAAACATAGTGTACAAAGTGCTGAAAGACCAATATATCACTGTAGCAAAAGGTATCTGAATTATGTGCAGTAAATAGGGGACCATGCATAAACTGATAACACTAACGGTGCAATCCTATGTATGTTTGGACAGAAGAAAGTCTTTAAAGTTCCAGTGTGCCCCAATCAGCATGATTGTATCCTAGTAAGGTAATTCCATGTATCAGTTGCCCCACTGGAGGAAAATTGCCCATGCCCAATGGAAGTTCTGTCAGCAATGAAAGAACCTCACCCTATGTTTAACTGCCAGGTAGTTGAAGGCTCTCCCAAATGGGAGGCATTCAAGAGGCAACTGGAAAGCCTTATCCTAGGGATGCTTTAACTGCCTCAGTGAAGCTTTAATGAAGCAAACCAGCTTGTCCCCAGGCCTAGGAAGGGGCAGATTCTCATCTTTGGCTGTGTGCTATAATTGCAAGGCTTTGCATGCTTCCAAAATACAGAGTGCCAGATGTGAGGAAAGCTATATTTCGTTCTCTGGCTGTTGGCTTAGAGCAAGGGCTCGTGAAAGACGCGAGAGGGCAGGGGTAGGGGCAAGCAATAAATCCTCATCTTTTTTCTTTTCTTTTTTCCTTTTTTTGCAAGTGCTATTTGTATTGACAGAAGTACAAGTAACACGAGCATACTTTTTACCCCCTCATGCCTTCAAAGATGCTTCTGGTGTGTCTCTTTTCCTATTTGAGATCTACTTGCCTGTAACTCTCAGAAGGAATCCTTGATAGCTTGTTGCCCTCACTTTACTTCCTCAGAACTGGAAAACTGCAGCCAGCTCTTTCTGCTTTTTTCCAGTGCAGTATGTATGTATTTTTAAGTCTTATCCATCATGCACAATCCCCAGGGAAGAAACCAAGGATTTAGCTTCTTCAGCTCCCTCTTATCCATTGCTAAACTGCTGCAATCTTTCTTCTTCACAGTTATCTGCCTCTTAGGTTGGGGAGAGAAGCAGTGGAGAGATGGATTGCTAAGATGCTGTACTGCAAGAGCCCTGCAATGCAGGCTTGCCTATGCACACTCACTTGTACATGAAAATTTGCCACATTGTGGCTGGGATGTGCACAGCCACATATGCATATGGGCAAAGGATGTTGCATCAGTACAAGCTTTCAGGTTTGCCACATGAATGTACATATAAACAAAGAAATGTCAAGAACTTCCCCATAAGTCAAGGATTTTTCATTATAACTGCCAGCATTTGCTGCCAGGAAGGAAGCCTTTTGTCAGAGCTGATGCTAATAAGATTTTGAGGAGGTAACACTGAGCAGGCAGCTTAGAAAGCAGGGAGTCAATGTTTGTTCCTGGAGCCTTACTGAAGAGAAAAGGATGATGAACTTTTGAAGCAGGTGTGACTGTTTGCCCAAGGTAGCAGGGAAGACTTGCCATTTTCCTTTTCCATGAAAAGGAAAGAAAACCAAGAAGCAGCTGCTCTAACAAATAGGGTGTTAACGTTTCTGTGTGTGGAGGGGTGCTGTGGGAGGATGCACTCTGAAAACAAAATCAGTGTGTATGTGGAGGGGAGTTTGACACATCTGGTCCCCTGGCAGGTTGATTTGGCTGGATTCATCATTTTTGAGCAGCATGAGAGACTAGGAACCTAAGTCTATAGACCAGGACTGGGAAAGTTCAGAGGCTCCAAGGCCATATCCTCTCATAGGTCACACACCTGGGACTGCCAGTGAGCCACCACACACACACACACACGCACGCTAGTGGCAAATCGGAACAGAAACTTAGAAGGGACAAATGTTGCTTCTTTCAGTTGTAGCTTGCCACTGAAATATGGCTGCAAGATTCAAATATTCTTGCTACTTCCAAGCTGCCAAATTTCAGCAGTGGCAGATTGGTGGGGGGGCAGGATCCAGGTAGGGCAGGGAGACATGTGTTGCCCATCCCTGGTATAATACAGATAAGCAAATGTTTTGGTACAGACTTTACTTTCCTACTATTATTGTGCATATTCACTGTTTTCTTTCACTATTCCATAGCTATACTTTAATAAACTTTTCTTAATTGGGCTGATCTGGACTCCTCATTACAACTGCAGGGACTTGTTTATCACTGAGGTCTGGTTGGCCACAGAGGGGCACTGTCTGAGTTTCCTGCATTGGTTAGAAGATGAAACAGAGTCATTTCCTTTAGCTACACAATCATGTTGAATGCCTGCCCAGTACTACTCACAGCCAGTCCAGAGCCTGGACTGTGTGTGGGAGGCAACTGGATAAATCCTCTCCATCTCCTAGAAAGATCAGTGGCTCAACTGCCTCTACATGGCTCCACTGACAAGATTTTATTATGCGGGCAGTACTGTGCTGCTGCATATAGTCAGCAGTGAGATCTAGATCAGTCAAAGGAAGACACTTTCCTGAACATTCTTTTCATTTCCCCAGGACCTGACTTTCCCATGACCCATCCTGGGTCCAGCCCTTCCTTCAGGCAGCAGGTGTGCTTTCTTTTGACTTGGGTCTTCCTCACACTGGTATGTTTCTGCTCTGAGAATAAGGGATCTGACCAGGTTCTAACACTGTTCACCATATTTTACTGCAAGTGTGATTCTTACATGTGCACTGAGTCCTATCCAGAAGCCTTGGTTTTCCTTTTGAATCACCTTGTTGCCATATTTGCCCATATTCAGTTGCTTTGTACACCCAGAGAGAAAGGTTTGCTCCTGGAGACAGACCCCTCAAGGCCAAAACAGCACAACCTGTGAGCTCCCTACACCCATTTGTGACACCATGCAGGGGACTGTGACCCAAGCATAGGCTGTCAGTTTTGAATCTAAGGGAGGTGGTCAAGCAAGATGTCTAGAATGAGGGACACCTGCTGCCAAAGGCCTTGAATCAAAAGTAAGTTTCCAAATCTTACTGGGCATTCTAAGAAAAGGCCCTGTTGCTAAGGCTCAGCAAATGCTGTTTTCAACCAAACTGCTGTGACTGCAGGTTCCTTAAGAGTAGCTGAGCATTCATTTGATCTCTTCTTCATTGCCCATCTAAACCTTCACTAAAGCTGAGAAACTTGAGAATAGTTTTTGCTTGGAGCATTTTTTCTTACTATTAGTCAACCAACCAGGAAATGAAATCTCAATTCTGAAGCCAGTACTGAAATCTGTTCTGTTTTCTAGATCCAGCTATGTGCTACCTATGTACTTTCCCCCAAAACTTATGCATTTTCATGCTCATAGCTGACTACTTTCACCAGCCTGTCAGCTCACATACTCTCCCAATCTTCTCCTGTGCCATTTTCCAAAGTGCTATCTTTTACACATTCTTATTTTAGCAAGTTCCCCATTACATGTATTTCTCTATCCTGGGCCTATTAGAACTAGAATAAGGATTCAAGTGTGAGGCAATTAGTATATTAACTAAGCCATTTTCCTCTATTGTACACAAGTGTGTTTAGACCAAAACTCTAACAGCAGTTCCCTATGAGGATGCCTGTAGCCCTCTAAAATCAGAGGATTGCAGACATCTTCTGAAGGCAAAGGTCAGCTCTACCACCCTGCCAAACAGCTAGATTCAGGACTATTGGGGTGAAAGGGAAGGGGTAAGATACCTCCTTCCCTTTCTGCCCCTCAGAACTTGCAGTAAACCCCCCAAAAGCAACCTCAGAGAAGCAAGCAATGCAGTTTTTCTGTGCAGGCTGACATCAGAGCTGGGACTCCAAAAGGTCCTGTGGTCATTTAGATGCTGCCTGCAGGCCACAGGATTGCTCTGCCCACATCAAATCAAATCACATCTTGGAGGGGAGGATTTTAATGTGCTTGAGCTAATTTGCCAAATTTAGAAGTAGTTGTTCCCAGCTAGGCAACTCCTCATGCAGGAGTGGCAACAGGGTACTCAGCCTAGCAGCACTGCTCTTCTCCTAGCCTAGCCCCAAAGGGGGTGGAAGGAGTGGGCACACATCTTGTAAGCTGTCCAGAGACACAAGTAATTGGATGGCATACAAATTTCATAAATACATAAAAATCTGACAGTTGTACCAAATGGCCACTGTCCATGGTGCCCTCTGGTTAGCTGCCTAGCAAAGGCAGCATCAGGCAGATGGCGGCATCCATGGTTCTGGCCTTGGCACTACAGCCTGGTTGTGTTTTTCCAGTTCAGACAGCACATCAAGCAGTCGTGGTACCAAGTAGCCATTGTTTCTGATCATAGTTTTCCAAACAAAATAACCGTGCTGAAATGCCACGAGAGTTCAGAATCCAACATTGCTTGTGGTGTAGTGCAAACTTCCAATGTGTGTTTGGGAAGGAGAATGTGAGGCAACAATAAGTAAAGTTACCATGAAACTTGGCTTCCCCGAGTCATCTAGATGGGCTGACTGGAATATTCTGAGCCTCACTTCTCCTCATTTAACAGGGCCCACCGGTGCTCCCTTGCTTAGCACTCTACCTGAAGTTGGTGTTGCCACTGCCTATCCTTATCATTTTCTAGTGGATTATAGCTTTAAAGCAGAGAATTTTATTCTTGAAAAAACAAAA